AGCTGGGATTACAGGCGCATACCACTGCACCTGACTAATTTTTGTATTTTTATTAGAGATGGGGTTTCGCCATCTTGGCCAGGCTGGTCTCAAACTCCTGACCTCCTGATACACCAGCCTCAACCTCCCAAAGTGCTGGGATCACAGGCATGAGCCACTGTACCCAGCCTAATTTTTTATTTTTATTTTTTAATTTTGTAGAGATGGGAGTCTATCTACATTACCAAGGCTGGTCTTGAACTCCCAGGCTCAAGTGATCCTCCCACCTCAGCCTCTAAAAGATGCTGGGATTACAGGCATAGCCCCATATTTCATGTAAAGCTCAGACTATCTACTTTTGCCACCACTTTAAACTAGCATCATCTAAGCACATAAGGACTCTTTTCTAGTACTGGACTCAGCAACATGACCTTCTAATTAACACTGAGATGCTAACCACCTTAATCTTAAATGCAATAATTGGGTATACGGTTTAATAAATTTTGGGTTGGAAAATTAAGAGAACTTGGTTCTAATCATAGTTCCCCAACTAATTCCAAACATGTTGGACCAGGTCTCAATTTAACCCATCTGGGCTTCAGCTTTTTCATTATCTCAAGAGGGTTAGAGTGGATTTTCAAACCTTTAAAAACAATAGCAGGTCAGGTGGGGTGGCACACGCCTGTAATCCCAACACTCTGGGAACCCAGGGCAGGCAGATCACCTGTCAGGAGTTTGAGACCAGCATGATGAAACGCTGTCTCTACTAAAAACACAAAAATTAGCCAGGTGTGGTAGTGCATGCCTGTAATCCCAAATACTCAGGAGGCTAAGGCAGGAATATCACTTGAACCCAGGAGGTGGAGGTTGCAGTGAGCCAAGATTGCGCCATTGCACTCCAGCCTAGGCAACAAGGGCAAGATTCCAGCTGGAAAAAAACAAACAAAAAAAACCCTCAAGCTTACTCTAAATCTTCTTTTCATACATGGTTAGTGACTACTACTGTTTACATTTTTTGTTTTGTTTTGTTTTTTTTGAGACGCAGTATTGCTCTGTTGTCCAGGCTGGAGTGCTGTGGTGTGATCTCAGCTCACTGCAACCTCTGCCTCCCAGTTCAAACAGTTCTTCTGCCTCAGCCTCCCAAGTGGCTGAGACTACAGGTGTGTGCCATCATGCCCGGCTAATTTTTACATTTTTAGTAGAGATGGGGTTTCACCATATTGGCCAGGCTGGTCTTGAACTCCTGACCTCATGATCTGCCCACCTTAGCCTCCCAAAGTGCTGGGATTACAGGCGTGAGCCACCGCCACCTGGCCTTGTTTACTATTTTTTTTATACTCACCCCTTCCCTTCCATTGCCACTAATGCTGTTGACTGAGTTTAGACTCTCACATGTCACCCTCAGTTTAGATTCACCTTAGAATTCTCCTTAGAATGCCTTGCACCACTCCCCTTTCAAAGCATTATCATGTGGTTGCCAGTGACTTCTTCACAAATTTAACCCATTTATGCCAGAGGTTGCATAATGTTTTTGTGAAAAATCAGACCTTGGCAACGACCTTGAGCAGGAGGATATAAATAACTCCAACAAGCTTAATGTTCCAATAATGGAACACTAGGCATTGCTCCTTAGGCCAAAATCTTTCAATGGTTCTCAAATGTCTGAAAGATAAAATCGAAGCTCTTTTATATGGCACTTAAAATTTGTACTTTAGTCTCTGCTTAACACTCCAATCTTACCTTTTACTATGATCTCAAACACAAGCAAAGCTCCAGCAGTATTATGTACGGCTCCAACATGCCTAAGCTATCCTACAACTCAAGGCTTTCATTCCTGGTGCTCTATCTAGAATAATTTTTATTTCAAAGGCCATAACCTTCCAGAAAAAACTCATCCTTCAAGAGTCACCCTTTCTATGAATCTTTTTTCTGATATTACCCCCCGGACTCCAAAAGATAAAAAAAATCACTCCCACTTTTGTACTTCCAACCCAGTCTGTATATATTTCTATTATAACATGTAACACTTACATATGTTTTTTACATTTTTACATATGTTCACGTATATAATCTCCCTCTGCTAGATAGAGGAATGTCCCTTGAAGGCAGCAATAGTTTCTGGCATGTAGCATAGTGCCTTGAAAGTACGCAATAAGGCTGGGCACAGTGGCTTCCGCCTGTAATCCTGGCAGTTTGGGAGGCTGAGGTGGGCAGATCACCTAAGGTTGGGAGTTTGAGACCAGCCTGACAAACATGGAGAAACTCCATCTCTACTAAAAATACAAAATTAGCTGGGTGTGGTGGTACATGCCTGTAATCCCAGCTACTCAGGAGGCTGAGGTAGGAGAATCACTTGAACCTGGGAGGTGGAGGTTGCCATGAGCCAAGATCGCACCATTGCACTGCAGACTGGGCAACAATAGTGAAACTCTGTCTAAAAAAAAGCACTTAATAAACCTTTTGGAAAAATTAGGTATAAAAATCACCAGTTTAGCAGGGCATGGTGATTCATGCCTGTAATCGCAACACTTTGGGAGGCCAAGGTTGGTGGATCACTTGAGGCCAGGAATTCGAGACCAACCTGGGCAACATAGTGAAACCCTCTCTACTAAAAATACAACAATTAGCTGGGTGTGGTGGTGCATGCCTGTACTCCCAGCCACTTGGGAGGTTAAGGTGGGAGAACTGTTTGAACCTGGGAGGCAGAGGTTGCAGTAAGCAGAGATCGCACCACCGCATTCCAGCCTGGGTGACAGAGTTGAGACCGTGTCTCAAAAAAATAAATAAATAAAAACTACCAGTTCACACAATAAATCTTGGTCCAGAGATTCAACTCAGATCACTTACTCTCCATTATCATCATACTCATTCACCAGAGACTCAACATTCGTATGTGCAAATCGGTAGTTATCCCTCAAGTTGCTGGCTGCTTTTAGGAACTCAGAGTGCGCTTCACTTAATGAATCCTTGAAAAAACCTATACAGAAAATATTAAACACAAGGAAGAAGCAGTAAGTCCTGATGGATAGACATTCCAAACCATAAAGGTCTATTTTTCAAGGCTTTCATTCTACTTTCAGGACTAGGCCTGCTTTACCATGACTACCTCAGACAGGCACATTTAGGATGAGAAATTCCCCTCTACCCTTTACAGAAACATTTTTGGAGCGAGCCAAGGAAGAAGATTTGTCAGTGTTGCAATCTTCATTCTACTTTTTTTTTTTTTTTTTTTTAAAGATAGGGTTTCACCATGTTGGTCAGGCTGGTCTTAAACTCCCGACCTCTGGTGATCCACCTGGCTTGGCCTCCAAAGTGCTTGGATTACAGGTGTGAGCCACCATACCTGGCCAACTGCTTAATTTCTTAAGAGTTTCAGGGACTATTTCAGATATCAGAAGGATTAAATTAGATGATATGTTAAACTGTAAATCACGTCACCCAATTTTTTTCTTTCTCAGTATTTGTCTTTAGATCTACTTGTTTAGAAAAGTGACTAAAACATACATGTTCATGGCCGGGCGCGGTGGCTCAAGCCTGTAATCCCAGCACTTTGGGAGGCTGAGGCGGGTGCATCACGAGGTCAAGAGATCGAGACCATTCTGGTCAACATGGTGAAACCCCGTCTCTACTAAAAATACAAAAAATTAGCTGGGCATGGTGGTGCGTGCCTGTAATCCCAGCTACTCAGGAGGCTGAGGCAGGAGAATT